GGAGGCGTGTTATAGTCCAGTCAGAGCAGTAAAAAATAAGCCTGTGTGCTGGAATAGCCTGAGCCTCTTAAAATATTTTGTACACACCCTTCATGCCCCATTAGTACCATTGTTTTGTTCAGTCAGCATGTGGTACAGCCCTTGTTGTACTCTGCAAAACACATCATTTTCCAAAATGTTGTTGTACTCTGTGGTTTCCGTTATAATAAAAATATGCAAACAATTGCTATCCAAAGAAAACTAACTGCCATTTAATTTTTAAATCCTCCTCCTTCTCCTTTCACTGTTTTCCGCAGTTTTTCCTTGGTAGTATCCAAATTTTGGGGAGAAAGGAAAGCTGAAGGCAGAAGTGTTTACAGAAAGGAGGATTTCTGCCCCTCCACAACTACAAAAGAAACATTTGTTGCCTCAGATAACTCCTAAACAAACTGCTGCCAAAACAATTAGTGTTATTTTTCTATTATCCTCCTATTTGAGAGTAAATAGCCATTTCATGAATATGTTAATTATCTGGTCGGTGCAGAAGATAAGTGGATGTTGTATCTTCACAAATGATGATAACTCTTCTATTGTATACAAAAATTTCCAACAAAGATTTTTCCCAAGTATTCGGGGTCAGGTGGCTGCAGTTAAACTGCTCACAACTGGATCTTCTGCTTTCATAAGTTAAAGATTTAGCAAAGATTGAACAATTCAGTAAATTAAGGTTTTTTTCTTTTTTTTTTTAAGGAAAAAGCAGGCAGCTAAGCAATAAGAACCAAATCCTTACAACAGCTGAGCTTTTAAATTGTGTTGTATTTCTGTATTAAGTTTTAAAGCCTAACAGAGAGGTTCAGGGGAAAAAGTCAGTTGTGTAAGTAGTGCAAGGTCGTATGTCTGTGTACTATTAAATACATGGTATTTTTAGAGGTAAATACAGTATTATTCTATTTAAATTGGGCTGTTTGCAGGACAGAAATTATTCGTGAATTTTTTGTCAGTAAAAACTGCAAGTTACTAGATAGATATGTTTGTTTATGTTTTAAATCATCCAAATATTTATTTTAATGATACTGTGCTTATTTGGGCTCTGGAGAAGCAGCAAAGTGCTGATTTTCCTTTTGGAGATGTGTACATGTGTACATTTAGGAGGAAAAATTCAATATTCTGCAAAGTTGAATGCGCCATTGTGCCAGATAATTAAAATGTAAATTTAAGTATCTATGCCTGCTTTGTGATTTTTTTAATACTTTTAAGTTAGTTGTCTTTTAAAACATGTGGTCAGCTGTTGTATTCACATATGGTCAAATGATCAAAGTCTGAACTCCTCTCTAATTGTCCCCTGCTGCTTGTCTGCTCTGTCCATGATCAAGGCCTCAGCAGGTGATAAGAAAGGCATGAGAACAGGCTGGAAGGAGAATGAACTACTGAGGGGCCCAAGCTGAAAGAAATAAAGACTTCCAGTACATCACCCTGACAGTAAAGAACCAAGAAAAAGTGAAGTCTGGTTAGTTCTTATTTTTTCTTTCTTTCTCGCCCTTTTTCCCGCTTGCTCACAAATCTGCATATATTTTTTAAACAGCAGAATGCAAATAGGGTCGTCTCTGTGTATTCTCAGCTCATATAAAAGGCAGAACCAAACAGCCTTCTGCAGACATGTTTATTTACTTGTGAGGAGGAGGAAGCTGCTAAGTCACACAGTTTATAGTATTTCACATGTTTGTGGAAATCATTGCAATTCTTTTCACTTGTGCTTGTCATTGTTTGCCTGGAGTTCACTTTGCCAGATGGTGCTTTATTGTCACTGGTGTCCACACCTCACTCTTGCATCACTTCAAGACCAAATGGTGTGAAGAGCTTTAATACTTAGAGGATTTAGTAAAAGTAAATCCACACTTTGTGGAAGGTTCATTCTCAGCTATTCAAGCAGGTCTAGCACTGATTCAGAGAGGGAGTAGCTGACCCCAGGAGTGAAGAAAGGGTGAAATAAATGGATTGTCTTTGCCACTCCTGTTTGTCCCCTGCTCTCTTGCAGTCAAAACGCTGATAGAAAATTAAGGATCAATATTAGATTTAGAATAAAGAATTAACAGTTAAAGAAAGGAAGGTGCATTGTCAGATTCTCTTCTCCTCCCCCCAGTCAGTGTAGAAAACAGTTGGCTGCATTTGTAAAGCTAAATTTCTTAGGCTTGCAGTAATGTATTTGTATGCATCGTGTTTTTGGAACCACGTGAGGATTAATTTTTTACATGAATTTGCATGCAAATAGAGTACTCCCTTTTGGCTTCGGCAGAGTCGTTTCTTAATGTTTGCAAACACTGTCGCTCAGATGCAAGAAGTGCCATTGCCCCATTTTACAGATGAGGAGACAGTGGCTGGCTGAGAAAGAAGTGAGTACTGCTCAGACTGTCATTCAAACGTGGGGGTTTTGGGCAGTCTATATTTCATTATTTAAAGCAGGACTGAGTGCCTATTTCTCTGTTTTTGCAGGTAACCGAAGTCTATGTGCCCAAGTGACTACAGCAGTAAGACTGGACAGAGAGTGTGTGTCTCTGCATGGACAAGGGAGTATTTTAGCAGGAGGCAGATGTGAGAGGATTTAGAGGATGTTATAGAAAAATCCGTGTAGTGCTTAGGCTGTTACATGGCTGCTGTAAAACAGCAAACAGGTTAGAGGCTATAACCACGAGGAAAGAGCACGCATCACAGCTGCAGCCCCCTCTGCAAGGAGGCAGAACTGTGTTCAGTGCCCCAGGTTTTTTCTGGGGTCAGCTCCAGAGGGTTCTCCTTGTGGGCCATGCGGGTTTTAGGAAGGACAATTCCTGTAGCAGGTTTGTGGTGGAAGGGAGACTGATGCACAGGGAGGGTGGTGGAGAAAGGGGATTATGATCATGTCTCTGCATGGGGCAAAGGATGGGAGAGACTCGAAACAAAGGGTTTGGGACATTTTGAGCGTGGAGATCTGTGGGAAGGAGGGCCCCAGTCCTGCTGGGGCTCTGCTGAATAGTGTCTGCCTCAGCAGTGACCCATGGAAGGGAAGCTCCCCTTGGGGTGTC